TGTTCCTGTTTATCTATCCTAAGTTTGGGTACAACAATGGCCGAATGAATCACCCCCAACCACCAAATATTCACCTCACTAGCCAAGCCAAAATACCCAACACATCACCCATCCATTTTGCCCTCTAATATGGCCGAAACCCCCCTTCCATCCATGAATATTCATTCATGAATCCTTGTCCACATTTTCCCTGATTTTATTCCATGAAAGGACTCAAGCACATGGCTGCATTTTCTAGGATTTGTGGAAGAAATAGCTTAGTATTTTCCATTGTATGAGTGCCTTTAAATTTCGGCCATAGGCCTATTGTAATGCTCAGCATATTATTCTTCATTTTAAGATAAAAATACACTAGTTGTATTCTGTTTTCAAATCCTAATTTCTATATCTTAAGGTTGGTTTCCTTAAGTGTGAGTGTTAGGTTCTAGTATTTCATTAAGTGTGTGATATCTTAATTGAAGTCTAGATTTCAACCCCAAGAAAGGATTAGAGTGTGTTATATCTCTTAGACCTCCTTGGTTTATCCCCCCGTTACTAAAACACTTCCTTCTCGTTTCCTGAAACTGCCCTATAATCGATTACGAGCTTGGTAAAATCGATTATCAACTAACGAGAAACATCTGCAGCCATCAATAATCGATTTACATATTTTTGTAAATCGACTATCACCCCTTTCTGAAAATCTCAGCCAAAATCACTCGAGAAGCCGAACCCTTCAATAATCGATTATCTCTTCAAAGATAATCGACTATCACCCCTCCTGCAATCTTACCACTGTGTCCCTCAAAACACCTAAAGCTTAGCAACAACATTGCCATCAATAATCGATTTACATATCCTTGTAAAACGACTATTACCCCTTTCTGAAAATATCTGCCAAAATCCCTCGAGAAGCCGAACCCTTTAATAATCGATTATCTCTTTTAGATAATCGACTATCATCCTTCCTGCAACATTTTGGTATCGGAGCTTGTTGTTGAACATCTCTAAGGACCTATAACACACTTCCTTTCCTCCTCTCTTTTTCCTTCCTATTTCGGCCAGAATCTCCACCTCTCTTATCCTCATTTTTTATCACCATGTTAAACCAATCCCAAACTCTCACCAATGAAGAACTTCAGGCCTCCAACGCCGCTCTAAAAGCTCAAGTTGAATACTTGGCAAAACAAGTGGCTCAACTCACCAAAATGAAGCTGAAGATGATGGACACCCCCGAAGAAAGTGATGAAGAACAGGAGCTGAAAACACACCCTACGGAAGATTCCAACACCAACACCGGAGGCAGCGTTCATGAGAAAGGAGTCACGGACTTCAAGGTCGACCTTCCTACCTTTGAAGGCAAGAATGACCCCGATGAGTTTCTAGAATGGCTCGAGGCAATTAAGCGTGTCTTTGATTTCAAAGACGTGCCCGAAGACAAGAAAGTGAAGCTTGTTGCCCTTAAGCTTGGAAATATGCATCCACGTGGTGGACCAACACCTCCACCAAAAGAAGGCGTGAAGGCAAGGCTCCCGTAAAGACGTGGCTAAAGATGCGTGCCTTGATGAAGAAGAAGTTCTTACCCGAACAATATGTGAGGGATAACTTTGCCCGGTTACAACAACTAAGGCAAGGCACGCGGACAGTGGAGGACTATACCCGGGAGTTTTAAGAGCTTTTGATGAGATGTGACCTCCAAGAAGATGATTTTCAAACGTTGGTCCGTTATTTGTTTGGGCTTGACACCCAAATCGCCAACGTGGTGGAGTTACAAACCTACGACACCTTTGAAGAACTGTCCAAACTAGCTCTTAAGGTTGAGTCTCAACTTAAGAGAAACAAAACCCCTTTTGGCCGTCCCCCTCCCTTCTCAAAAAACACACAAACCACACCACGTACCACCCCCTATGCCACGACCCAAAGCCCTTCCTCCAAACCCAACTCCATCCCTTCCACTTCCACTAATCCGACACCCCCTAAAACCAACATACCCAACACTCGAGCTCCAAAATGCTTTCATTGTCAAGGCATAGGTCATTATGCCAACGAATGCCCAAACAAGAAGATTATGGCCATTGTGGAGTATGAAGAGGAAGCAGACAGCCCCTCTTGGGTTGATGAAGTAGCGGAAGTGTTATACCCCTGGATGGCTCCACCAAAATCCCAACCCTTCCCAACATATCCAAAAGTCTTTTATCTTTCCAGTGTCCCAAAATAAAGCCTTTGCCATCTATTTTATTCCCTGGTTAATAATAAGAAACCAAAACGTTTTGTTTGTTGTTATTTTCCTTCTTTTAATAAACAAATAAAAACCTTTTCTCCCTCCCTTTGAATCCCTGGCCAAATATCCCTCTCAATCCCAACACAACACCCACAAAGAGCCAAAACCATGACCCACCTTCAGCCCCTACTTCCTACCTATGTTTTTCCCTTACAATAACCCAAAAATCACATTATTCCCTTCCCCTCTTTCCTTCACTCTTGGCCAAGAATCCCTGCCCACAATCCATGTCACAGCCCCCACAATTGTTCCCCATTATACTCTCCATTATGTGTAAGGAAACAAGCTGCAAACAAACAAAACATATTGGCCCCACCTTGGAAGCCACCCAACTCACCTTTGCTCCCCATAAACTACCTATTACATCCCTCCAAAATAGCCAACCCACTCACCCCTTGTACCCCCTGCCTGGCCGAATCAACCCACCCAATACCCT